ACACACACACACACACACACACACACACACACACACACACACACACAAAGATTACTGGAAGTTAATGGTTTCTGGGAAAGGGAATGTCATTTTCTTCAAAGGCATAGTTACTAAATATGTTGTCCAAACAAACTTCTACCCTTCTACCCATGCTGATGCAAACAAACCTAATTAAACTCAGTGGTTCTCTCTCTCTCTCTCACACACACACATACACACTAAAGATATGAAAGTAGAAGGGGAGCTTATGGAAAGTGGAGAAGGGGTTTGGGTAGGGAAAGAGGATAGTGGGGGTAAAACCATTATATGCATTCACGAAGTTGTTAAAGAATAAAAACAAATTAATAGGTTTAAAAACTATGTAAATGCTGGGGCTAGGGCGATGTCTCAGTGGTTAAGAGTGCCGGGGGGGGGGGGGTCCTTTCAGAGGACCTGGGTTCCATTCCCAACATGCACATGGTGGCTCACAACTGTCAGTAAGTCAAATTCCAGGGGATCTGATGCCTTCTTCTGGCCTCTGCAAAGCACCAAGCACCAGGCAAAACAAAACACACATACACACGGTTTAAAATTATATAAATGAAAACCAAGCCTCCTTTATGTCTTGCCAACTATAAATATCATTCCCCTAATTCTCTACATACCCTCTGCTGCTGAATTTAGCGATTTGGAAAATATATGCACTTTCCCTAGAAGTGCAACAATAATTAGGATTATTATTATTATTATTATTATTATTATTATTAAGTAGGCTGTAGTTTAATTTTCTAATGATATCTATACATGCATGCCCATGTTTATGCGTATGTGTGCATACACATTTAAATTAAAAGTGGGTTTAGAGTCTGAGAGAGGGGTGGTGGTACATGCACTAGCACTTTTGAGGCAGAGGCAGACAGATCTCTGTGAATTCAAAGCCATTCTCATCTATGGAGCTAGTTCCAGGGCAGCCAGGACTACGCAGAAATGATGTCTGGAAAAATAAACAAACAAAAGTGAGTTTAGAGTGAGTAGACAACTGATTAACCAGACTCAGAGGAACCTTAAAGACAATATAATCTATTTTTTCTCAAACTGTATATATATATATATATATATATCTCAAATTGTGTACATATATAGAGTATAGTTTTTGTTTGTTTTGTTTTTTTTCAAGACAGGATTCCTCTGTGTAGCCTTGGCTGTCTTGGACTCTTTGTGTAGACCACGTTGGCCTTGAGCTCATAGAGCTCCACCTGCCTCTGTCTCCCCGAGTGCTGGGATTAGATGGATTCTTACTCAGCAGAACTAGGTGGAGCCAGAGGTTTTGCATTTTAGACAAGCTCCTCAGAGCTGCCATACTTAGAGGAGAAGGTGAACTCTTTGTCTAACAAAATACTCTAACAAAATACCTGAGATAATTAACCTAGAAAGGAAAATAGTTCTTTTGGTTCAGCTCTTAGCTTTTCCAGCCCATGATCCAACAGACCCAAGGCTTTTAGGCCTCTGTCAGGGGTGACAAAGAGCAATCAATGGTGGTAGTGAGTAATGGTACAATGCTACACTTATGATCAGGACCTCAAAGGGGAAGATGGGTGAGTGGGGCTCCATCTCATATTTCCCTGTAGAGCATGCTTCTAGTCACTTACGACAATCTTCATCAACCCCACTACTTCCTGATAATAATATCCAATGGGACAAGCCAATGCATGGCTCTTTGGGGACATTCAACATCTAAACTACAGTCCATCCTCAATTTACTTTTTCTCTTGGCCACTTATATTAAATTGCCATTGGTTACCATTCTGTGAGAGCTTTCTCGTCCTTGGCTTGGTAAATAACCTGGGAGATGGAAGCTCCTTGACAAGCCTAGGCAGGAGGCCCTGTGTGTTGGAGACGGCAGCTTCCTCCTGCTCTGCGGAGCTCTCCTTGCCAACATTGCCTGACTGGCTTCCACACTTGCAGGACAGCATTTTCCCGAAAGCACTCTTCATTTTCTTCATCAGGTTTCTTTTCTGGTTGTTTTGGTTTCCATGAAACCTCAAGTCACTTTCATTCAATGGTTCCTTTTTGGGGACCAACACATTTTGCTTAGCTAAGTTGGTAGATACAGCTCTGTGCCATCTAAACAAACAAACAAACAAACAAACAAACAAAGATACATTAAGGATATAAAAGAATTGGCCAGAGACATGGCTCAGTCAGTAAAGTATTTGCTATGCAAACATGGGGACCTAAATTCAGATCCCTAGGACACAAACAAAATATCACCAGTTTGGCTGAGCAGGCAGCCTAGTGGAAAAACAGCAGGTTCCAGGATAAGGGGATAGGGCAGAAAGCCACGGAGGAAGACAGCGGATGTCCCCCTCTGGCCTCTGTACTAGCGAGCGCACACTTGCACACCTCGCATGCGCACACACTCACGTATTCTCCAGTCTCCTGCTTATTATTTCTTCAAAGCGTGCCATCTAAACGGATAGATGCAGTGCAGGGCATTTCAAGCTTGCAGCACTTTTGTGTCTGTTTTGTGTTGTGTGTGGGGATGGACTCCAAGCCTTGGCAATCTAGAGCAGCGTTGTACCCCCACTGAAGCCCTGGGATTAAGAGCTTTGTTACTATAACTCTCCGGAGTCAGTGTTCCCCTTTTCTTCCATTGCTGAGCATAGACCACAGCGATAGACCACAGCGTGATGTACTATGCTGTGTTTAACCACCCACTGATCAAAGAACATTTGAGTTGTTTCCATTTGGGAGATGTTACGAACAAAACTGTAAACCATAGGGTTGAAACTTTTCTGTGAACATGAATACTTGTTTCTCAAGCATGAAATCCCAGCTGTAGCAGGATATGATTTCTTTGCATGTATGATTTATGGTTATTTTAATACATGTTATACCTGTTTCTATCTTGGGTTAAAATAAATTAATGACCACTAAGATGTTCTTCATGTACTACCTAATGTATCTCAGGTACCACCATAGGGCATTGTTACCTTCCAGCAAAACACTGCTCCATCAGCTTCAGAGACAATCTTCCCGGGAGGAGGTACCAGTGGGCACGTGGGCTCTCGAGTTTGATGTTATTCATCTCGCTCAGAACCACACCTACTGATGCATGGTCTTGGACGTGCCATTTAGTTTTTACAAGATTTAGTTTTCTAATTTTAAAATGGGTATACTCAGCAGAAATCTGAGGCTAAAAGGAAATAATTTACATATTTAGGTCTTAATAAAGCCTTTACTATGTGTCAGCCTTAACTAGCCTGAGGATCAAGTGAGGACACACATTCTAGAGGTGAAAGGAAGACAGCCTCACGGGCTAGACTCCTCCCGTGTGGGAGCAAGGCCAAAGATACACCTTCTGCGGTCACACCAAATCCTAATGGTTGTACATAGCTGTATTTCTCATAGGAGGCAAAAGTGTCCTGAAGAAGATGTTCCATTTTCTTACTTGATCAACCTTCTGTGGACCCTCCAAGACTCTCAGTAACTTTAATGTTTTAATAACTTATATTGCCACGAATATGCGCATAGCTACTCTCACACACAATGGAAATACACTTCATAATGGTCACAGATCCTTAATGCAATCCATGCAGCTACTCAGTGGTGGCACAAATCTGCAATCTCAGCACTCAGGAAAGTAATGTAGGAGGACTGAGCACACAGCCCACCTGAGCGGTCACAGAAGAATCAGCCAGAGAGGCGGCAGACAACCCCCATGTTGTGTTTCCTTTACCCAGCTCTGATGTATACACCTCTCTAGAGAAGGTTGCTTGTTCGAGGACCTGGGAAGAGAACTCCTGTGACGTCTGGGACAGAAAGAAACTTTCCTTTTTCACAGCGTTGGCTTGGTTGGTTTTGTTCTTGTATGTTAGTAATGAATGCATTTGTCCTCATCCTTTCCTCCTTTAACCCTTATTTCTTACTGGAACTGAGTATCTGCAACATTTCACTTGATACGTGGAAGTTTAAAAGCTTGATCATTGACTCTCCAGCATATCAAACACCTCACTGGTATTTCTCTGAGCTGTGGCTATTAGGTCTACTAGGAAAAATGCCCAGATACATTGGAAACCAAACTGCCAAACTGAAATTCAAAATTAAAGTGTGGCACGATCATAGTAGTGTATGTCTGCCTTTACGGTGCTGTCTTTGACAGGAAACACCAGGTCTAAGGCTGTTTGGATGTTTCCTTGAAGAGTTTTTAATGGTGAAACAGGATTAGGATGCAGTTTAGTAGGAAAGTTGCTTTAGCTAGGAACAGAAACGATTAATGCATCTTCAAAATTGCATATTCATTGGTGTGGGCTCTGAGAAGACTAAAATACTGATATTGAAAATAATATCTACTTACTATAGACATTAATCTCATATAACACAGTAAAACTCAAATTCAGCTAGAAAGTAAAGCCTTTTCCCTGTTAAAACTAAGGCTTTAGTATCAGCAAAACTGGACTTGGACGGCCCTCTGCGCCCCACCTGATGCAGTCGCCCTCCCCTGGAACAGAGACAGTCTAGACTTTGAAATTATAATGTCTAAAAGGAGACTCCACCTTCTCCAGTCATCACAATGAATCTCCTTTAACGAAAACCCCAAAGGTACCGAAGGAAAAGAAAAAAGTCTTTGTTACCTACTTTTCTATCCCCTTCCCTTTGAATGAGCCGCTTTTCCTCTTGGGTTGCTGAATTCCTCGGTACTGGCCAATCTTCCCGCAGGCAAACTTTCGGGGTTCAGGTGTATAAACCTGAGGGTGCTCCATTGCTGTCAGTTTCAGCCCTGATGGCTGAACTGGATTTCTTTAGCTCTTGAGCTAAAAGCTTCTAAACAAAATCATCCCGTGACTGAGAGCACTGCCTAATTTTTGGGTGTTTATTCTCACTTGTGGGACTGGCTGTATTTTTCCTCAGAGGCCTCCAATGATGCATGTGACAGAAGTGTGGGAAATGCCATGGTGCCTTGTGAAATACTACACAGAGAAGGCACATAAGAATAAAAATAAAGTCACATCATAATCGATAATCATATTTATAAATTCATGTGTGAGTTCTGAAAGGGAGGAAGTGGCTCTAGGGTTTGAGCTTTTCTGTTAGACCTCTCAAGCAGGCCAATGCCGTCCCATCGAGCACTCACGAAGAAGCTAGCTCTTGTTGGCTGTCTCAGTTGTCAGTTGTCACTGAAAGGGATATTTCATTACATCTTGAGTTTCTGTCGAAGTCTTTAAAAGCACAAGGCTAAAAGAGTTCAGTGCCTGGACCACTTCCATATTATTTCAGCGTTTATTTAGCGGGGAAGATCAAATCCTACCTAGGTGAAAATTTTACCACAAGGTGGCAGCAGAGCCCAGTATATAGGTTGGTTACCGCACTCATTGGTCCTCTGAGTTACTGAGTTCAATATGGCTGGATACTTAAAAAGGAAGCCTCCTCTGGAAAGCTGAAGAAAGGTATATAAATTACTCGGTTTCCCATGTTTGTAGCCATCAGTAGCTCATATCGCTTATGTGCATAGCATTTAGTTGAAGGTCTTATTTAAATGCAGCTTTCAAGTCAGTACATTTGAGATGGGACGCCTTAACGCTCATTTCAAACATTCTCTGGTAATGCAGATCATTTTGGTACATGGGATTTTATGCGGCTCAGTATCTTGGAGAAAAGCTTCAGATGAAGCAAGAGGCTGGGAGTATGACTTAGTACTGAGCACAGGCTTAACATCCCCAAGAGTCTGGGTTCAAAACTCAGCACTTAAAAAAAAAAGTGATAATAAAAAGTGTAACGCTGAGGTTCTAAGATGGTGTGTTCAGACAGTACATCTGGATTCCGGCTCCAGCCTGAGGGTGTGGCCTGAGTCACGTCACTTTCACTTGTTTGTGCTTTGTTCCTCATCTCTCAAATGCCAATGCTGCGGGTGCTGTAGCTTTACAGTGAGATTCAAGTGGAGCAGGAACTTGGCAGTAGCAAAAAAATGACTCTTGGAAAGCATGTCGGATGTCTCAGGATGCAGGTGACCCCTGGCCCACAGAGTAGGGGCCTGCACTACACGTGGCTGACAAGGTTTGGTCACGTGGGTTGGAGCTCTGTCCACGTCTGGTTTTCCTCTCAGCGAGAATCATAGATACTAGAATGAACGCATGCACACAAGCGAGCAACTCCTTTAACCAGGATTTTCACATCATGATTGGCATTGCATCTTCATTTTGTTGGATTCAATCAAATTCATGGTTGGCTCTGACTCATTTCATGGCAGGAAGAGAGAAGTGTTTTTACTCATGTGAGGGTGTGTTCGTGTTTGCACACGTCTCCCGGTGTGCAAGTGCGCCTGTGCGGAACAGGCTGTGACTTGCAGCAGGTCACAGGACAGTCCTGAAGCAAATAATGCCTAGGACAAAAGGCATTATCGGGCACACCCAGATAACAGTTTTGAAGTCAGGCTGGGTTTAAACCCTCGCTTTATACCTGATCTGTTCTGGGACCTTGGGAAAGGGGAGTAAAGGCTCCCTGAGCCTCAGTGTTCTTGTGTGTAAAACAGGAATAATCAATGACACTATAATCAATGACACTTCCCACCAAGGTGGCGTCTGCCTCTCAGTCCTCAATAAATATTTGAATGCCTAGTGGTTGCTAGGGACTGCTCTGGGCACCAGGGACGCTGCAGTGAATAACACAAACACACACACACACACACACACACACACACACACACACACACTGAACTATCTTAAAGTGCTATGACAAAGCCTGACAGCAGACAAAATGAAAAAAAATAATAATTTCAGCTAATTAAATGTAGTAAATGCCATGAAAAAAAAAATGAAAAAGGGAGCACAGGATAAACTGACAAGTGCGTTGAGGGGCAACACTGATTGGGAGCACCAGGAAGGGCTCTTTGGTGGAGTCATTGGGCCTGAAAGCTGAGCAAGGAAATAGTCAGCAGTGTGAAGATCTTCATGGTTTAGACAGATTAGATAGAAACAGGGTAGCAATGTTGAAGTCAGCTAAAGCTAACCTGATAGGCTAAAGAAAGAGTCTGGGCCAAACCAGCTAAGCACTGCAAACCCACTGAGAGCTGCCTCGGCTTGGTCTTCAGAGGGAGGGGGAGGGAACTCAACAGGGGATATACGCAACTAGTCCATGCCTATTTATCCTGGGCAATTAGATCTAGTCTGGAAAGAAATTACTTGGAATTCCTGCTAGTATTTAGCATGTTTGAAGAGGAACTCACACTCTAGGCACATTTACAAATAAATTGTTTCAGGAACTGATAAAGGATGCTAAGATAAAACTAGAAAGCCACTGTAGAAAAAGTTATCAAGGGACCAAAGAATGCCTCTTAGAGAAGTGACTTTTGAGATGAGAGATTTTATGCAAAAAAAAGTGATAAACTATACTAAGACTTGGAAGAGGAATTTAACAAATAAATGACCTTGTAAAAGCAAGAATTGGGAGGTGGATTAAACTCGGCACATGTGTGAGCAGAAAGACCAGTGTGGCTGGCATGTAGGGCCAAAGGGAAACATTGTGTGGGTATCTTAAAAAATGATTTCTCAGAAGATGCCCTGGAGAGGGAAGACTGCACCTGTGGAAAGGCACCAGGGAGGTAATAAGTTCAGGCTCCAGATGTTGATGGCGAGGTCTCCAGACAGGTGTGCAGACTCAGAGAACACTCAGGTTGCGGGGAGGAGCGCACTGCTAGAAAGTTAGTGTGCTGCCATAGGCCAACTATAAGAACACAGAGGTTTGAGGCTCTCATGACGGGCAGCCATTGAAGGCTAAGTTCACAGCTAAACAAAACAAACAAACAAAAACCCAAGAGTATAGGCACTTCAGTAGGGAATATTTAGCAGAGCTAAATAGAGGATACAAATTCAAGCTTCCCCATAAACCTCATTTTCAACAGCACTCACACCACATGGCTTGGAACCATCTTTATGTGAGCATTTCCTGACCACTTATAGATGCCCCTCTGAAAGCCGATGAGCTGTCTACAGCAGGTCAAAGTCTGGTTCAAACACAGCATTCCTTGCTCTCAACATTATCCTTCTGTTGAACACACATGAGATTGCATAATCCTATTCCAGTAACCATAGCAACAGTTGACTCCTACAGAGATAGCAATTGATTGAAACCCCTAAATCAGAGCTTGCAAACACCAATCCCTGCAGGAACCTGGAATGGGTGGTGAGAAGCGGCGGGGTGTAATAGGGAGGGGTGGGAAATCTGGCAAACTGTAAAGTGTTAGGCCAATCTAACGTTACTGAGCCACAAATTTTTGAGAAGCTTTATGATTATAGAAATAAGGTTCAAGGCTCATAGTAAGCTCAGAGACCACCACACTGCTACCTTTCCCAGACATTTTGGGATTAACTTTCCAAGCAGCCAGGTCTTTGCTGTCAGCAGTCTCAGAGCTGTCCTTCTACCCCAGCTTTCAACTTAAACGTCTTAACACTGGAGAGCTCTGGGCCACTTTCAGGCTGGTTTTGAATTCTGTCTCTAATCTTTCTGCTTAGCAACTCAGAAACCTCTGCAAACCCAGGAAGCTGAGACTCTGGCTCTTGAGTTTCAGTCAGGGTGTAATGAACACATCATGCAGGACAGGACAGTGTGGGGTGGGGTGGGGTGAGGTCACTGGTAAATTAAATCCTTTTGCATCTTAATGAGCCCAGGCAGCTCATTTCCTAGAGAGCTTCCCCTTATGCTGACAGTCCCCTCATCTCCCCTCTCCAAACATCCCCAACAGATGACCCTCTCATCCTAAGCACCTCTCCACCCCCCCCCCAAACAATCCACCTCCACTCCCCACCCCAAACACCCCGCCCCCTTCCGACCCTGACTCAGAGGTCTTCCACCTGGTTTAAGCAAATCCCTTTGTTTGGTGCTTTAGCCCTGCAGAGGGAAGGTGTCACTTTTCGGATTAGGGACGAATGTACTGGGTGCCTAGAGACGGCATTCTCAATAAGGTGACTGCACACTAAGAACGTCTCGGGAGTCAGCCAGTGACCCAAGGGCTGGATCACAGTGTCTCTGAAGCAGCGGGAGCCCTTGAGTCAACCATGCTTTCTCCCCGTTTCCTCTTTGTATTGCTTGCCGCCTCAGGTTAGTGTTCCCAGCTCAGGCTCTTAATCCTTACAACAGTTAGATTGTTTCCCCCTGGCTCCTTTTCACTTGCTCCAGCACTTTCTTGGGGTTGGTCTTTTGAATTCAAGTGCTCTTTGGTTGTATCTCATTGGATAATCTACTTTCTTATCAAAATATTTCCGCAGATGCAGTTATGAATGGGGATCAGGGTAAGTTCTCTGGGAGACAATTGGCCCTATCTCCTAGTATCTGAACTCTGGAACCTCAGAGGCAAACTTTCACCTGTGGAAGGCTTGCCTACAGAACTGCACAGCAAAAAGATACATGTGGCTCATTTGTAATATCAAGAAGTAGGGGAAATATTGTCAGTAGATGGTCAAAGGAGCTGGTACTATGTTTGTGCCATGGTCTTAGTGACAAGCTCTGACACACAGGCAAGATGCATCCTGTAGAATGGAGGGTGAGTGAGAGCCTTAGAAGCAGGAATTCAAGCCCATCTCACAAAAATGTATGCCTGCTTTATAGGTGGGTAGGCACAGACAGTATAGAGGCACATACACTAAGAATTTAGCAGCGACTATGTTTAAGATTACAGGTGGAAATGGTAGAGTTGGAAAGATGAGGAAAGATAAATAATTGATTTAAGTTTTACTTTATTTTATGTATTTTCTTTTTTTATTTTTAAAAA